ATTTTGCTACATATGGGGTTGAGAGAACGGTAGTATACATTGGTAGTTTAGGGTGAATATTCTAGATTATAATAAGAGCAGTTACTACACAGGTAGTGTACACTGATAGTGTAGGGTGAATCTTCTGAATTACTATTGTAGAGCAGTTTACTACACAGGTGCCTTCAAATATTTATTATGATGTAAATATTTTTAATATTTAAATATGTTTGTATACAGGGTGATTTAGAACTATTGTTTAAAAATCGGCATGTAAGTCAGGAACACGAAAACAAGTAAGATTCATACATGAACATACAGTTGCAAACTTACTCCAGACATGCTACATGCCCACAAAACCAGAGACTGAAAGATTGAGAGATTAATAGAAAGTAAACGAGAATGGTAATAATGGAAAGTAAACGTATGGAAACTAATATTTGGCCAAAGGGGTATGATGCTGTTCCTAAGTTGGAAACTACAGGCAGAAACGGAATTCCAAGTTGGGATTTAATGAAAAAACTGATCAGTTGTGATTTTCCAAAGATTTTCTTCCATGGCCATTGATAAAACCGTAAAAAAATTTTCAGCTTACCATCAACGAAGATATTCTGCCATTAGAAATAACATTTTAATAACCTTATCATGCTTCCATTTCATCCATCTGTCAGTTACACCACAGCTGTTCACACATTTTTTTAGACTATTTTCATTGTAGTTACAGAAATATTTTGCCTAAACTTTTGTGTTTTAAATTATGCTTTTGATAACCCTTATCCTTCACTATCTTTTTACACCATAATTTCCAAGACAGCATTTTTTAGTAGCAGAAGAGATATTTTATTCCATTCCTTTTGAACAGCTTTCCAAAGTTCAAGGAGGGTTGTAGGTCAACGTCTGAACAATCCACTTTTTAAAAGTCTAAAAGTGCAAAAATACATTGGTGCTAAATAAGGAAATTTAGTATGGATATGAATGAAAAATATGGTCTTGATACCCATTTCTTATTCCCCTTTTTCCAGGATATTAGCAATAGATTTTGACTTGTTGCTGCTTCCTTTGTCTTGATGCAGTTCTACCGATTGATGGGACTCTGGGTAAAGAGAAGATATTTCAAATTTGAAATTTGGGCATAAAATAGGCTCCTGATAATATATGGAGTTGACCTTAACAGTTTTCTGCACTCTCTTTAATTTTTGTTTGCCGTTATACCAAAAACCAACAGTAATCATAAAATCCCTTTGAAAAATTTTCTTTAGGTTCTTTGAACGATGGTCTAAGATTTTTTCTCTTCTTTGATGATAATGAGTGGATCTGTTTTTATTGCAGTCATTTAATATGTCCAATATTTTTCAGAATAATTGTTTATCATAGAATTCTCTATTCTATATTCTGTAGCATGTTTTGCTTTCAGTGATATTTTGTGGAGAAAGACCATGTGTATTACCTTTTTTTTTTTTTTGGCCTTTTTGAAATTGACACTGTGCATGCATTTTAATGATTATGCAACTGCCCTTTGAGTTCGAAGATTTTTCTTACCTTTGCAACATTCCAAACATTCAATTTTTTCGTTGGATATCAAGGTTCATATAGTTCTTAAAAGTCCTTAGGGTTTTTTGGAATAGATTTTTAATCCTTAAAAGTCCTTAATTTTGACGAAATTCGGCAGGAAGTCCTTAATTTTAATAATTTGAAATTTCTATCTGCCATTTTGAATGTGAATGAGCATTTTAGACAAATATTTTTGACGATTCATTGACAATTATAGTTAGTTATCTTTCAAATGGATGAATAGGTTCATGGGTTATAATTTGTTCCTATTTCTAATATAAATGGTGGGATAATTCACGTTTCTGAGCAAGAAGTGAAAGATAAGCATTTTGAAATTATTTCATTTTTTCTAATGAAGAGCTCTTAAACAACTTTTCGCTTTTGGAAATCTGAAATCTTTATTAAACGGTTCCAAATTTGGTGATTTCAAGACCAGTTTCTATAGAAAATTTTCAATTCGAAAATCTGGGAATCTTTAGATGTTATTTTTTATAAAACATTATAACATTGATCAATTTTATTAAAATAATGTTAATATATTGAAATTGTATTCAAGAAATAACATTAAAATGAAACATTTTTATTTTTCACTATCACGTATATCATAAAGTATCATTACTTTCCATTTTGGCAATTTATTATACAATATTTTGAATCTGAAAAATGAACAAGATAATAAATGTATAAATTGCTCTTTAGCACAGTTTTCAACAAATCTTAGGAAAAGCAAAATAGCTATGTAATTAAAAATACCTGTGTTTTAAGTTTGCCATCGTAAGAGTTTTTCCCATGTAACTGTCTCAATATGCATCAGTTTTCTCTCTAAAATAAATTTTACACTTTTTTCCTCTGATTCCCCCCCCCCCCCCCAACATATTTCTGCCTTTTTGCTGGTACAGAATTGGTAGGGGTGATTTTTATTTAGGATTTTTAGACTTAAAGTTTAGAAAAATTTGAAGGCAAGATTTTTCCAGAAAAATGTCTTCATGGTATTAACACATAATGCATGTATTTTACAGTAAGTTTATGATGAACATTTGGAGAATTTTCAGAAGAACAATGAAAAAAAAGTATTTGAATGTTTTACTTCTGATACTAGAAAGTCTTAACATGTTTATCTGCCCTTTGTTTTCTTTATTTTCCACTAGAACAAGCGTAGAAAGTATAAAAAATGCTTGTTATCACACAGATGGGCATTTATAGAAAGGAATTTTTATATTAATAAAGAAATTGAAAACTGACCATTTAAAAGATTCACCGGAACTACTTTCATATACAGTCATATTATTTGTAAAAAAATTTCTCAAGAAACATTTTTGCCAAGAAACTCCACAATTTTACTTTTCTAAATTTTTTGTTTACATTTCAGAAATGCCTTTTTTTCTTTTCAAAAATTAAAAAAAATAAAAATTAAAGCAATGTGACAATTAAAATAACTCTCTACAAAATTAAAACAATAAAAAGTAAATCCACTTGCCATTCAAAATGGTTCCCAAAAAAGCAAAATATTAATTTCAAACAAAAACTTGCAAGGACAGACATAATTAATAAAACTTCGCCAATTGCACAAAGCATGCGAACCAAAACGTTACGACTTAGCTATGTCAGTCATTTTTCTACAATTCAAAACTACAAGCATTATAATAAAAATTTCCTCTAAAGTCAACTGCAGGAAATCCAGGATCCAAACCTTAAACTTCGTTGAGAACCCCTCAACATTTTTTTTTTTTTTTTGCCCTCAATAATTTTTCTGCAAATCCACACAAATCTATCAGAAACACAATTCTCCCCCCAAATCTTCATATCAGACTTGTAATTCTCACATGTCAAGTTCAGCTTCAGAAATCTTGTGTCCCAGAAAAACTGAAAAAGTTCACTTCTGTCAGCATGATGACAGCCATGAACAAATGCTTCATTAGTAACTCCAACAACATGTCTTTTTAAACTAGATTTAGCTTGAATACACTCTAAAACACGTGGCTGATAGATCTCCACAATTTCCTTTATGGACCTATTTGCATTATTCAACGCATAACCAAACAATCACTACGACAAAATACAACGACATTTCTCACATAAAAAGGTTGTGAGAAATATACAATCAAAATCTAAACTAAACCATCCAACACAAAATATCGCACATTTGGTGACCACGTCTCCCAGGCCATATATAACATCTGTACCGATTCATCTTGTATGTCCCAATGCGTTATCAATGGTGTAACTGGAGTGGAGCAAGGGGGGACATTGATTTCAGTAATTTCTGATTTAACTGTGTGACATTTGTCATTTAGTTGTTTCATGTGTTATTGCTTCTTGCTTGCATGTGTAATCTCATATTATGAATATTCCATTTTGTCTTTTTGTGGTTACCGGTTCAATGCAATTTCAAAATTTTGGTCAACAGTAAAAAAGGATAATTCTGTATTAGTGTGATTACCTTGGTGCAGTTTGTCAATTTTTGTGGTAGAAAAGGTAGGATGTTTATAATTGCAAAATATTTTTTACTGAGTAAGGTTATATTTTATGTTTTAGTCATCCTGAAAATCAATCAGTAAACCTATTTCAAGCATGTTTTTGTTACTTATATTCTGGTGGATATTTTATGACAATCACTCTAAGAACAGATTTAGAATAATTTTTCCCTTTATTGATTTGGCAGCAAAATACCATGTTTCTTCAGAAATTGTACTGTGGGTTCCTCCATTGGCAGCAAATTTTATAAAATGTATTTTAATTTAAGATAAAAATACTGATCTTTTTTTATTAAAAAATAATTGGAACACAACAAAATAAATAAATAAATAAAAGTAAAAACAAATAGTGTTGCTTTTGAAACTAAAAAATTTATGTTCACTTGATTGCGAAAGTCTTTACATTCTAAAACTTTGGTTATTTATTGCATTACCAAGGTGGTTGCATTAATATATTATATTAATATGCAAGAACCAAAAAAATTTTGGTTTACTTGTTTATGAGCTTGACATTAATTGCGAGTATAAAAATATCCAAAATACAATCAACTTCCAGGTAAGAATGAATATTTATGACTAGTCTTTTTGCAACAAAAGGGCACTTGAAATCATTGTGTTGAATAAACTCTGCATAGGTGATAAGAGGAAAAGACATCCATCTCCTGGGATCCCTTTAATCAAAAGTTTAAATGAAGCATATGCAGATGTTTTGCCTAAATTAAAATAACAAATTTCAGAATACGAGATAAGATATAAATTAGAGTGAAAGAAAAATTGACCACACTATGCTTTATCACAGGCATTTATTCCATGCTTTGTAAGTAGGGAGTATATATTATTGAACAAGTTAACATACTTGATTTGGCAGTATTAAGTCACTAAAAATTGTACATGCTGTTAAATATTTGCTTTGTACTAATTGACATTATATCTTCTGTTTTATAATATATGATTTTATATTTGCCTTTTGTAGTAATCGAGAATGTATTTCTGTAGGTCTGTAACAGATCCTCGTGATGGCCGAAGAGTTGCATTAAAAAAGATGCCAAATGTCTTCCAAAACTTGGTGTCTAGTAAAAGAGTATATCGAGAAATAAAAATGCTATGTTTTTTCAAGCATGAAAATGTGAGTTTATTTTTATAAATATATGTGAATGTGGTATAATTTGTATTTTGCTGATGTGTATTATGATCTGATTTTGAATTTTTGCAGCTTCATTTGTATCTTTTTAACAGTTTAATATTCTGCACCTTTAGTGTTTATGTATATGTGTCTGTATGCAAGGTAAAAGGTATTGTTGCGAGCTACAGGATTGTTAATGTGATGTTTCTCAAATAATAAATCTAAATGAGCAAGGCAAACTGAACAATTTATTATGAAAGAAAGCACAATAATAGCTGGAAGTAATTTAAGGAGAACACAAATATTAAGCAGTTCCTTCTTAGCACATGAAATAAGTCATCAGTCTCATCAGATTAGTTTTGAGGTAAACCCTAATCTGTAACTCAGCTAACCACTTAATTTCGCAGCTGATTCACATTTGAACTCTCTAGCTCTTTGATCCATATTTATACCTGCAACCATTGGCTCTGGAAACTTCGAAAATAATCAGTCATAGGGCTTTGAAAATGTGTTTTTGCGAATCATCAGAAAGTTATCAACAGAAATTGGTGTTGATGCCTGTCAGAAATGAAATAGCCTATATCTTGCATTCTAATTGAGCTATCTTTATAATTCAAATGCTGTTACACTAAGTATTGAAATATCTATAATTATGTGCAAAAAATAAACATTTAAATACAAGATTAAACACAAAATAAACTCAACTACAAACCTAAAAACAATAAATAAATAAATGAAGCACTACAGAACACCACAGCAATACATAAAAATACAGTCGGAAAGAATTCAGATATTTACAAGAATGTGTAAATGAAAATACTAACTTTAATTTTCAATAATCGCCTAATTCTTTGTTCTAATTTGGTTACTTCCTCCTTTCCAATCTTAAAAAAAAGTAACTGTATATATTCTCTCTATGCTTCATTTCAAAATTAATATAATTTTTATATAGCACTCATGATGCAGATAACTTTTCAAATAATAATTTTAGGCTTTAAATTAACCAATAGATATTAAATCAAAACTGAATAGAAATCATACTGAACAAGAGCTTCCTTCTGGGATACATCGGTTTTGCTTTTCCCTTTAGCTGTTGTCAACTGTCTCCTGCTTGCTGTTTTAAAAAATGTAAAAAGTTCTAAGACAGATGCTGACTCTGCCAGTTTGTCTGGTTGGTTAATTAAAATGTTTGTCAACAAAAAGGAACTTTTTGGTTATGCACCTGCCACTATTTTTTGGCATCTGTGAAGGAGAAGCCAAATGCAGGCCAGAACTAACATTAGCTCCATCTGGGAACCAAACCCCCAGGTGATTCACAACCAAAATAGTACACACACACACACACACACACACAAATGCATGGCAGGTGCATAATGGGAAATATTAAATAGGTCATAACTATAGGTTTCTTCCTATTGCATCTTTTTGATTGCGGACTGCATTTTTATGCATCTGTCTGCCATTAACATATTTCAAAATTATTATATAGTTTTGATTGTGTAAAAAAGTAGGTACTGTTTTGTTATCAGAAACAGATTCAGAAATGTATGCACGGATGTGTGTCTTCATCTATACATGCATATATTGTAAGCATGAATGTATATGTGTGTACTATATGTACACACACACATGTGCATACATCCATACATTTCTGAATCCGGTCCCAATAACGGAACAGCACCAAAACATATTTAGAACTTCATTAGTGTAAAAATAAGAAAAGACAAGCTCAAGAACACATATTAGAGATACTAATAATTAGTAACAAGACTGTGCATAGCAGCTTAAGGGTCCGAGCGGTCCTATTAAGCTTTGAAACAATAGTTCTACAAACTTGCGCACATTATGCTTATTCTTGTGCTAATTGTTAGTATTTTTTAGCCTTCATTAATGCATTTATATATTATATGTAATTTTTAATCAATAGAGCATTTTAATCAAATTTGAATTTAGTGTACTAAAAATTTTAATAATTATTTCATTGCATAATGAAAGCTACACGCTGAAGGAAAAGGCAAGTTTCAGATATAGTTTGAGTTTAATACATTTATTTGTGTAGATAAGAAATCATTAGTTGATGAAGTACTGTCTTCACTCTATAAAAACGAATTTGCAACAAAAATTTTGATTATTATTTTGTAATAAAGATCATTGTGTAACTAGATTCAAGAAAAATATTATTAGTTTGCTAGTTTAGTTCTGAACTGTAACTATGTAAATTATATAGGCACAAAAATGCAGTCTGAAGATTTGTTTCTCCATTGATCATGGGATTTGTAAATCAACTAAAGACTGAGATTGAATATTTTTCATGATTATTAAAATAATGAGTGTGCTGTCTTTAGGGTGTGTTATAAGGAATTCTATGCTGTATAATTTTGAAATTGTTATATAACTTTATTGGAGGTGATAAGGTAAGAATCGGCATAATAGCCAAAAATTTGCAGAACTAGTTTCGAAGGTTTAAACATTAAACCTTCTTCAGCTGCAGAAGCACCAGCATGTGCACAGAAGCTGCACAAGTGTGATATTTGAATGTCTGTTCTGTAGAAGAAAGTTCTATATTTAAACCTTCAATTAATCTTGCAAATTTGTAAATATTATGCTGATTCTTGTTACCTTAACATCTCCAGTAATCATTATCTGGTCTTATTTTAACTGAGATGTTTAATAATTTGCTCAATTTTTATTTTATTAGGTTCTGTCTGCGCTGGATATTTTGCAGCCTCATAATATAGATTTCTTCCAAGAAATGTATCCTTTATTTATTTCTTATATGTGGGAAAAAAGTTTGCTGATATAAATTGTTTTGAATACTTTCTGATTATCTGTATCCCTACCAAAAACTCACATACCCATTGGTAAATTTGGAGGGTACTAACAAATTTAGTGCTGACTTTGGAGAGAAATGTTTGTTAGGGTATCTTTACATCTATTTCAATGATGCATACAGTACACCTATTTTTTTTTACATTCTTTTTCCATAGAAACTATAAACACTTCTTGTGTTTTTGCAGTGTTATTCTTCCCTTGTACACAGTAATATGTTTTCACTTCCTTGTACACAGTAATATGTATGAGAGAGAGAGAGGATTACACAAATTCTCACTGCTAAAATCCTAGAATGAGGAGTTAAAGAAAGGTGTCTTTAAGCCACCTTACACTCTATGCATGCAGAAAGCTAAGTTTGAGGTTTTAATAAAAACTACAATATGTGGTTTACTGTTACACTGAAATGCTGAAACCATAGGAAGGATCTTAATCTGCAGATTGCAGACTGTCACTTTGTTTTGGTCTCGACTATGAATGAGTTTTTATCCGTGAATTAAAATTTGGCCCTAAAGCCATGTGCGGTAATTAAAAATTAAAAATGCACTTGAACCATTCACCCATAGGTAAGGAAAAATCTATTGCAGAGTCAAATGTTTAATAGGTGTGTAAAATAATTAAGACACAATAACACGCCAAATAAATACTAATTCAGAAGTCAAACAACAAAAATCAGCGTTATATTTACAAAATTTTCACAGGACTAGTTTCGATGGTTTTACCGAACCATCATCTTCAGCTGCAAAACCGCAAATGAACAAGATAGGAAATAATGATTAGATAAGATAAGAAAGCCTGGACAAGAATAAGCAAGTGGCGCCATCTGTTGGCGAAACCAGAACTAAAACATAATTTCTCTAAAAGCCGAAGGCAAATTTGGATTGGAATTAGGATCGTTAACTAGAACAAAAAGATTTTTATGAATGTGAAATGCCTCTAGAAAATCCAGTTCTCCAATGGAAGATGTTTTTTTGAATAATTTTGGCCAGAGAAAAATTGAAAGTGTGATTTTCGGACCAACAATGTTGAGCAACAGAAGACTTATGTGTTTCGTTTATTCTAACATATGCCTCATGTTCTTTGACGCGAAATTATTATGAATCAAAATTGTTTGAAACTTTAAACTTCCCGGCATGGTTCCGCTACGTAGACGATACTTTTACCCCTGTTTGAAGGTAATAAAGATGATTTAAATAGAGTTCTTTCAACAATGAATTCTATTGATCCTGCTATTCAGTTCACTTTTGAACTTGAGACTTGCAATTCTCTTCCGTTTCTCGACATTCTGGTCACACGTAACACATTAAACTTCACTTACTCTACAGTTTACCGTAACCTTCATCGGTTTGCCTTCCATCACACTTTAAATCATGTCATCCGACTAAACAAAAGTTAGCTTCATTTTTCCTATGTTTTCCGTGCTCTTCAAGTTTGCTCCTCCAAACTAGCCCTTGATGAAGAACTGAATTATTTAAAAGCAATAGCTATTGACAGGGGGGCTTTTCACCCACCCACATTATTAATCAAGCAGTTAAAAAATTCTCATCTCAACACACTAAAAGCCACACTCTTATTTTAGGAGATTATAAAAATTCTGTTGTCATTCCCTTCTTTCCATCAATTAGCTATAAAGTTGCACATATTTTGCAGAAATTTAACTTTCGGGTTGTTTTTTTTTTCCCATCAATAAAATGCCAACTTCTATACTCAAGGACCCCATTCCGGATATGAATTCCTGGGGTATTTATAGGATTCCTTGCCAGTGTGGTTTAATTTACATTGGCCAAACTAAGAGAGCCTTAAAATTTCGCGTCAAAGAACATGAGGCATATGTTAGAAAAAAGGAAACACAGAAGTCTTCTGTTGCTCAACATTGTTGGTCCGAAAATCACACTTTCAATTTTTCTGCTGCCAAAATTATTCAAAAAACATCTTCCATTGGAGAACTGGATTTTCTAGTTGCATTTCACATTCATAAAAAATCTTTCTGTTCTAGTTAACGATCCTAATTCCAATCCAAATTTGCCTTCGGCTTTAGAGAAATTATGTTTTAGTTTCTGGTTTCGCCAACAAATGGCGCCACTGCTTATTCTTGTTCAGGCTTTCTTATCTTATCTAATCATTATTTCCTATCTTGTTCATTTGCGGTTTTGCAGCTGAAGATGATGGTTGGGTAAAACCATCGAAACTAGTCCTGTGAAAATTTTGTAAATATAACGCTGATTTTTGTTGTTTGACTTATGTGTTTCCTTTTTTCTAACATATGCCTCATGTTCTTTGACGCGAAATTTTAAGGCTCTCTTAGTTTGGCCAATGTAAATTAAACCACACTGGGAAGGAATCCTATAAATACCCCAGGAATTCATATCCGGAATGGGGTCCTTGAGTATAGAAGTTGGCATTTTATTGATGGGAGAAAAAACAACCCGAAAGTTAAATTTCTGCAAAATATGTGCAACTTTATAGCTAATTGATGGAAAGAAGGGAATGACAACAGAATTTTTATAATCTCCTAAAATAAGAGTGTGGCTTTTAGTGTGTTGAGATGAGAATTTTTTAACTGCTTGATTAATAATGTTGGGTGAAAAGCCCCTGTCAATAGCTATTGCTTTTAAATAATTTAGTTCTTCATCAATCAGGGCTAGTTTGGAGGAGAGCAAACTTGAAGAGCACGGAAAACATAGGAATAAAATGAAGCTAACTTTTGTTTAGTCGGATGACATGATTTAAAGTGTGGTGGAAGGCAAACCGATGAAGGTTTACGGTAAACTGTAGTACTGAAGTTGGATGTGTTACGTGTGACCAGAATGTCGAGAAACGGAAGAGAATTGCAAGTCTCAAGTTCAAAAGTGAACTGAATAGCAGGATCAATAGAATTCATTGTTGAAAGAACTCTATTTAAATCATCTTTATTACCTTCAAACAGGGTAAAAGTATCGTCTACGTAGCGGAACCATGCCGGGAAGTTTAAAGTTTCAAACAATTTTGATTCATAATAATGCATGTAGATATCAGCCAGGATGGGACTGAGGGGGCTTCCCATGGCTAATCCCTCAGTTTGCTTGTAATATTTATTTTGGAAAACAAAATGTGTTTGTTTCAAACAGAGTGAGAGAAATTAGCTCATCAATTTCGATGCAAGAGAAATGAAATTCGCGAAGTCTGGTTTCTAGACATCTTAATCTTAATGCACCCTCCACTGGGACATTAGTGAATAATGATTTTACATCAAAGAAAAACCATGAGTAAATTACAAGGAGAAATGTTTTTAACCTTTTTTACAAACTCTATTGAATTTTTTATGGTGTAAATGTTATTGTCTAATAGAGTGGAAAATCTAGAAACTAAATATTTAGCTAATGGATACGAGGCAGTACCTAAATTTGATACAATAGGGCGGAAAGGAATACCACTTTTATGAATTTTGGGAAGAGCATATAATCTGGCACAATTCGCAACAGATGGGATAAGCGAATGTTTTAAGTTGCTTGAAATGATTTGCGAAGATTTGATCGCAGTTTTTTATTTTGGATAAGTCCGAAGGTGAAGGATCTTTAGGGATCGGATTATATGGTCCTTCGTTTAAGAGTTTAGTGACACCATGGATGTAAGTGTTCTTCTTATCCATGACGACTATCTGGCCACCTTTGTCGGCCTTTGAAATGACAATATCCGGGTTAGAATGAATCTCGCGCATTGTAGCTCTTTCTCTCGCAGTTAGATTTGGTTTCAAAGGTTTATTATTGAATTTCACATTATGAGCGATAAGATGCCTAATCATTTCTTTCTGTGAATCTGAAACTTTACTGAACTTGAAAGCTTTTTCGATAGGAGCCAAAATCTTTGGAATCGAGGGTTTACAGGTTTGTGAGAAGTTAAAATTATATTTTAGAATTCTCTCTTGTCTTCTGAAAGACTAACATTAGAAATATTAACTATTGGCTTGATGTTTACAATGGGAAGATTTTTTGAACTACTTGAACTGGAAGACTGTAAAAAGAAGTTTTTCGAATTTAACTGCAACTTAAAACTGCATTCTCCGTTCTAGACCAAGACTTTTGTTCAAGGGCAGTGAATTTTGGATATGATTTAGCGAGTTCCAGATGAAGCTTATAGAGTTCATGTTCAATTTTGGACAATTGTTGACGTGTATCCCTTATCACGGACCGAAGTAAGGCAAGCTTGCAATTTAACAGAATTCTTGAAACGCGACTCGAAGGTTTTTGATTAGATTTGATTTGAATAAAATTGGGAATCAATTTTTTACATTTACATTTAAGTAAAAAGTCAAGATTATTCAGGAATTTTTGCCGTTTCAGGCGTAATTTAGTGAAACGATTAACGGATGAAGGCATGATAAACAATGCAGAAAATCAAATTAAATTAACTGAGCAATAATAAAGTACACACAAAACAGCAGAAAAATCCCTCACTGAAATGAATAGAAAACAAAACGTTTGTAAGAAAAATGCATGAAATCAGACAAGCAAAGCACAATATCCAAATGTACAAAACATAAAAATAACTTGAAAATTGCAAAAATGTACTCACCGAAACTCCTACAATCACAAAATGGCGGCCACACCAGGTGCAAAAAAGAAAGCAAAATGTAAGCCTGTTTTGGGCTTCTATAATTAAGACACAATAACACGCCGAATAAATACTAATTCAGAAGTCAAACATTTTTTGGCGTGTTATTTAAGTATTTATTCGGCGTGTTATTGTGTCTTAATAATAGAAGCCCCAAACAGGCTTACATTTTGCTTTCTTTTTTGCACCTGGTGTGGCCGCCATTTTGTGATTGTAGGAGTTTCGGTGAGTACATTTTTGCAATTTTCAAGTTATTTTTATGTTTTGTACATTTGGATATTGTGCTTTGCTTGTCTGATTTCATGCATTTTTCTTACAAACGTTTTGTTTTCTATTCATTTCAGTGAGGGATTTTTCTGCTGTTTTGTGTGTACTTTATTATTGCTCAGTTAATTTAATTTGATTTTCTGCATTGTTTATCATGCCTTCATCCGTTAATCGTTTCACTAAATTACGCCTGAAACGGCAAAAATTCCTGAATAATCTTGACTTTTTACTTAAATGTAAATGTAAAAAATTGATTCCCAATTTTATTCAAATCAAATCTAATCAAAAACCTTCGAGTCGCGTTTCAAGAATTCTGTTAAATTGCAAGCTTGCCTTACTTCGGTCCGTGATAAGGGATACACGTCAACAATTGTCCAAAATTGAACATGAACTCTATAAGCTTCATCTGGAACTCGCTAAATCATATCCAAAATTCACTGCCCTTGAACAAAAGTCTTGGTCTAGAACGGAGAATGCAGTTAAATTCGAAAAACTTCTTTTACAGTCTTCCAGTTCAAGTAGTTCAAAAAATCTTCCCATTGTAAACATCAAGCCAATAGTTAATATTTCTAATGTTAGTCTTTCAGAAGAACAAGAATTCTAAAATATAATTTTAACTTCTCACAAACCTGTAAACCCTCGATTCCAAAGATTTTGGCTCCTATCGAAAAAGCTTTCAAGTTCAGTAAAGTTTCAGATTCACAGAAAGAAATGATTAGGCATCTTATCGCTCATAATGTGAAATTCAATAATAAACCTTTGAAACCAAATCTAACTGCGAGAGAAAGAGCTACAATGCGTGAAATTCATTCAAAAAAAAAAAAAAAAAAAAAAAAAAAAAAAAAAAAAAAAAAAAAAAACTATATTATCATTTCAAAGGCCGACAAAGGTGGCCAGATAGTCGTCATGGATAAGAACACTTACATCGATGGTGTCACTAAACTCTTAAACGAAGGACCATATAATCCGATCCCTAAAGATCCTTCACCTTCGGACTTATCCAAAATAAAAAACTGCGATCAAATCTTCGCAAATCATTTCAAGCAACTTAAAACATTCGCTTATCCCATCTGTTGCGAATTGTGCCAGATTATATGCTCTTCCCAAAATTCATAAAAGTGGTATTCCTTTCCGCCCTATTGTATCAAATTTAGGTACTGCCTCGTATCCATTAGCTAAATATTTAGTTTCTAGATTTTCCACTCTATTAGACAATAACATTTTACACCATAAAAAATTAGAGTTTGTAAAAGGTTAAAAACAATAATTTACTCATGTTTCTTTGATGTAACTCATTATTCCCAATGTCCCATGGAGGGTGCATTAGATGTTGTAAAAATTCAATAGAAGTTGTAAAAAAGGTTAAAAACATTTCTCCTAGTAATTTACTCATGGTTTCTTTTGATGTAAAATCATTATTCACCAATGTCCCAGTGGAGGGTGCATTAAGATGTCTAGAAACCAGACTTCGCGAATTTCATTTCTCTTGCATCGAAATTGATGAGCTAATTTCTCTCACTCAACTCTGTTTGAAACAAACACATTTTGTTTTCCAAAATAAATATTACAAGCAAACTGAGGGATTAGCCATGGGAAGCCCCCTCAGTCCCATCCTGGCTGATATCTACATGCATTATTATGAATCAAAATTGTTTTGAAACTTTAAACTTCCCGGCATGGTTCCGCTACGTAGACGATACTTTTACCCTGTTTGAAGGTAATAAAGATGATTTAAATAGAAGTTTCTTTCAACAATGAATTCTATTGATCCTGCTATTCAGTTCACTTTTGAACTTGAGACTTGCAATTCTCTTCCGTTTCTCGACATTCTGGTCACACGTAACACATCCAACTTCAGTACTACAGTTTACCGTAAACCTTCATCGGTTTGCCTTCCATCACACTTTAAATCATGTCATCCGACTAAACAAAAGTTAGCTTCATTTTATTCCTATGTTTTCCGTGCTCTTCAAGTTTGCTCCTCCAAACTAGCCCTTGATGAAGAACTGAATTATTTAAAAGCAATAGCTATTGACAGGGGCTTTTCACCCAACATTATTAATCAAGCAGTTAAAAAATTCTCATCTCAACACACTAAAAGCCACACTCTTATTTTTTAGGAGATTATAAAAATTTCTGTTGTCATTCCCTTCTTTCCATCAATTAGCTATAAAGTTGCACATATTTTGCAGAAATTTAACTTTCGGGTTGTTTTTTCTCCCATCAATAAAATGCCAACTTCTATACTCAAGGACCCCATTCCGGATATGAATTCCTGGGGTATTTATAGGATTCCTTGCCAGTGTGGTTTAATTTACATTGGCCAAACTAAGAGAGCCTTAAAATTTCGCGTCAAAGAACATGAGGCATATGTTAGAAAAAAGGAAACACAGAAGTCTTCTGTTGCTCAACATTGTTGGTCCGAAAATCACACTTTCAATTTTTCTGCTGCCAAAATTATTCAAAAAACATCTTCCATTGGAGAACTGGATTTTCTAGTTGCATTTCACATTCATAAAAATCTTTCTGTTCTAGTTAACGATCCTAATTCCAATCCAAATTTGCCTTCGGCTTTTAGAGAAATTATGTTTTAGTTCTGGTTTCGCCAACAAATGGCGCCACTTGCTTATTCTTGTTCAGGCTTTCTTATCTTATCTAATCATTATTTCCTATCTTGTTCATTTGCGGTTTTGCAGCTGAAGATGATGGTTGGGTAAAACCATCGAAACTAGTCCTGTGAAAATTTTGTAAATATAACGCTGATTTTTGTTGTTTGACTTCTGAATTAGGTGTGTAAAAGTTGAAAAAAATTCCTTGTGGAGTTCGAAAGTCAATAAGGTAAAATGGAGGCTTGAATCCACAATCTGTGTTTTTTCTAGTCTTCTGCTGCGCCCAATACCGTCGGGCTATGAATTCTACCTTCACAGATGCAGAAAAATGAAGTCCTTTGTGATTGCAGAGACTACTCCTCGCTTTCAGTGAATCACATTAACCTCAGCTCTGCTTTTTATTTATCCACTGGAGTTTTAGCTTCTTTAATTTTACTAGTGTGATAAATAATGTTTCCAAGGAGTTTTAATGATTCTTTCATCTTGCAGCCACAACATAGCTTCATTGAATTCTTCGGGTGGAAGCTTGAGTTTTTTCTTTACTTTTTCGCTATATAGAGGTTTCTAACTAGAAAATACCAATTTTGCAATATATGAATAAGTTTATTTTTTGGCAAAACTATAGAATCATTGGTTTTCAAAAATGTTTTTAAGACAAAATTTCTTATTTATTTTCTAGTAAATAATTTTTTTTTTCAAAATGTTTTTTAGTTGTAGTTCATGTTCTTAACATATTTACTAGTTATGTTATCACAGAATTGATGCAGACTGATTTGCATAAAATTATTGTATCTCCACAACCTCTTACTGCAGATCACGTGAAAGTTTTTCTGTATCAGATTCTTAGAGGTATGAAATGTTTGATGGAGAAATTGTATTTATATTGACAATGCAGTTAATTTAAAATCTTTTTATTGTAATTTTTTGTTGTTCTTTTTGTAATCAAGTAATTTTACTCAGATTCTCTTGTAGTGTATAATTTAAAGAACTTGAAAAATTATGGTATAGATTTTATTTTTTAGGATCAGTTTTTTTTAGATATAATTAGTGCTTGGCATGTTTTAAAAATTGAGAGAGCTTAGGTGATATTTTTGAGTTTTATGTAATAGTTATGTTTCTTTTAAAAATTTTTGGTTCCCCCCCCTCCAGAATAAAAATATGAAGTGTCTTTTTAGGTTTGAAATATCTACATTCTGCTAATATTCTGCATCGAGATATCAAACCAGGAAACCTTCTTGTCAATAGTAATTGTGTCTTAAAGGTAACTGTATCATAATATTTTTAACTGCCTTAATGTGACATTATAAATATTACAAACTAACCTGAGAAGATACTTTTTAATAGCTCATTTTACTTTTTCAGATTTGTGATTTTGGATTAGCTAGAGTGCAAGAACCTGATGAAAATAAACATATGACTCAGGAAGTTGTGACTCAGTACTATCGTGCTCCTGAACTGCTCATGGGAGCATCTCATTATTCTTCCTCTGTTGATATATGGTCTGTCGGATGCATATTTGCAGAGCTCCTGGGGCGACGTATTTTGTTTCAAGCTCAGACCCCTATACAGCAGGTTGGTTTTCAAGTATATGACATGTTACAGCTTGCTGCAAAAACTTAGTCCTCCTTCATGAAAGTGTATATTTTGGGCATCTAACCACATTTTTAAAAATTAATTCTAATGTTAAAATTAATTAAAAACAATTCAATTAAAATAATTTCTGAGAGAATTCTTGAAGTTTTGAAAGACATAAATTGAAGATGTACTGATGCTTGTTTGAAAATGAAATATTTGCAAAAATCTCACTTAATAAGCTACTTTTGCTATACTTATGAATATTTCTTGGTGCAGAGTAAACTTATATAATTTTTTAAAGTCTCTTTATTTATTTACTTCTTTATTGTGTATACCAGGATTTCTTAAATTGTGGGGTCGTGGGACCTGCAGCAGGGAGTCGCCAAAAATGTTAGCAGTTTTGATATTTGTTTAACTTATTATAATAATATTACAAATACCAAATTTTTTACACATTGTATCTGAAAATTGATAAAGAGAAGACAATACAAAGAAAAAGATGAAAACGTTTTGACGCATTCTTTTTATAATATAAACATTCATTTTCTTTGCTTTGCATGCGATGCTGTCATTTCGTCTGTTACCTATTTAAAATTTTCACATTGTTCTATGTCTTAAAATTAGAAGTTAATGACGTAAAACTGCAATAATGTATTACAGGACAAGTGAAAAAAATTGACGGTTTTACTCATGTGTGTGTCGGATTTGCGCAATTCTTATGGGATCCTGGGGTTCGGGAAAAAATCTCTGTGATAGAAAGGGGTTGCGACTGAAAAAAGTTTTAAGAAACCCTGGTGTATACTATACGTATTTCTATTTTTCTTATGTTAAGAATTATTCTTTTTCCCTTTTTAATATTATGTATCTAATTTTAGTGTTAAAAATTTTAAAGAAAACTTTGTTTTAATACAGATAAGCAATTAAAAAAATCATGTGTCTTTTTCTGTTTTTAGCTTGAACTAATTACTGATTTGCTGGGTACACCAATGCCAGAAGATATAAAAACTGCTTGTGATGGAGCAAGATCTCACATATTGCGACGACCTCATAAGATTCCGTCTTTGGCAGCACTTTACACGTTATCTTCTCAAGCAACACATGAAGCTGTTCATCTTTTATGTCAGATGTTGGTTTTTAATCCTGTAAGATTTTTATTTTAACTTTTTTAATTGATTCTTAGAAAACTGATATAAATAGATTTGGTTCTTAAGAGCACTGGAGATTCTCTATTCTTTCTTTATTGTGACTGATAATTGTGTATATTTGAAAGTATTTATAAGTAAAACTATTGCATAAATTAAGATAATCACCATAATTTCTAATTTAAGTAGTAAACAAAGATATTTTATGTGTTAAGTAAATCTCTAAGGATTATTTAGAAGAAAAGAATTATATAAAGATGATTTAAAATAAACAGAGCCTAGGTTTTTCATGAATCATATAAGAAATAATTTAATTGTAAAAGAATGGAAATAAATTTATTTTTAATGCATTCTAAATATAAAAACCACGCAGATACTTAAGAAAGCTCCTTCCCCAAAAATTATAAAAATTAAACATCTGATGTAATAAATGTATAACACTACAATCAAAGTAGCTAAACCTGAACAGGTATAGGAAGATTGTTTCTAATTTGCCATATGAAAATTATTTTAACTAAAAAAAATATAGCAAATTATATGTGGTGTGTGATTTTTAATTTCTTTGATGTAACTTGTTTAGGATAAACGAATTTCATGTGCTGATGCATTAACTCATCCATATGTGGATGAAGGAAGATTACGTTATCATTCCTGTATGTGCCGTTGCTGCCAGACTACACCTGCAGGTCGCCAATATGTTTCCGATTTTGAACCAGTCTCTCCTCACATCTTTGATGACTGTTTTGAAAAAGATTTAACATCTGTTCACCAAGTAAAAGGTAAATTTATACTTGAAGGACATTAAGTTCAATATTATGCCTGTTATATCTATCAAGACTTGGGAACCTGTTCATTTCAAGAATGTAAAAGACAAAATCAGCTTCTTGGTCATATCAGTTTCATATTCTAATGTGCTGTGTGTTCGTTATTAAGGTTGCCTAGACTAGACTAGCCTATCTGTCTTCACATACAGCTGCCATGATATGATAATAAGGCATAAAATAAGATGGAATAATTTAATTAATGTTTCTAAACAATGTTCTGCTTTCCCCCCCTTTCATTTCCAGCAGAAAATTTGCAAATATTTAGAATATGTGCAGTTGAAAACCCAATTCTGTGGTACTTACACTAGTACCTTTTCAAGTTTTCCTTCCCCCTTCCCCCCAAAATACAAAACCTTTCAACATTAAGGTATATTTTATATTTGTGCTAGTAGTAAATGTGTCTTTTGCATCATGTGGCCTCTTAGTCAATATTCTAATGTGCTATAATATAACTGAATATAAAAAAGGTCAAGTTGACTGTAAAAACAGAATGTTTAGCTGATGTGGCAACAAACTTTGATTATGAGTGCTATTAACTGTGCTGCCTTGATGGCAGGTCTATAAACTAATAATGCTAACTTCAGAACTTGCTTCATCAGGGACGTTGTCAGGCCATAGAATGCTTGCTGGACTTGAGAGGTGCGACTTTTTATAGTGTTTATAAAAACTGCTAAATATTTTTTCATCTTGTTTATAAATATTTATGAAATTACTTAAGCAGTTGAAATCAAGTGCAAGTTATATATTAGCTAATACAGAGTTGCCAACTCTCCCGATTTAGGCGGGAGACTCCCGCTTTTCGACCGCTCTCCCGCCAACCCAATTTACAATCTATTTCTCCCAACTTTTTTTTATTCTCACGATTTTTATGGAACTTGGCTTGATACTTTGTTATATGAACAAATAAATAAATAAAATAAAAAAATGGGATTTTTGGACGTCTGAAAGCAATTGAATTTTCTCTAGATTATATCTAAAACAAAACCTTGTGAATCAGATAACTTCTGCTTTGTGAGTGAGCACATACATATCCAGAAATGTCGTTCTGCAGTTCTCCAATGGGCATCGAGCTCCACTGCATGTCATCTGGCATATATTAGCCAATGAGGAAAAAGCAAGCTGTTATTTGGATGTTCTTTAGTTATTTCGTTCATTTGTCCTGAGTTGTGTGACTACATGTGCCTTCGGGAAATAGTTTTGAAATTATCGTCTTTTGTTATGTCTGCGAGAAAGGTGAAATACTCGTGTACGTTTCAAAAATCGTACACAGTTGACATTCCTTTCATAATTTCCTCAAGGAAATGTAATAAATTTGCGATTTTTCGATTTCGATGGTGGAAGGGCGGATGTTCTCAAACATGTGCGTACACAAAAACACAAGGACAACATGAGTTGTTTTGAAAAAAAACGAAAAATTTAATTTTTCTTCGGAAACAAAGGACCAAAACGTTTACTGGACCACAACCTGCCACTGAATGCATCGGATCACGCTGCAGCTTTATTTAGAAAAATGTTTCCCGATAGTCAAATCACTAAGAAATACTCAAGTGTAAGGACCAAAACAGGTAAATTGTTAAAGAAATGGGTTTGAAAAATAAATCTTTAGTTATTGATTGTGTTAAAACAGCTCTGTTCTGCCTCTTTAAGGATGGAGCAATAATACCGATTCAAAACTGTATCCAATTGTTGTTTCTTTTTTTTTTAATCCAGAGTTTTCAGAAATGGAGTGAAGTTTACTTTCTGTCCCCACTTTAGAAGGACATTCGACAGGCTTTAATATAGCACAGCTAATTATTAAAACTTATAAAGTGGATGAACACATTGTTGATATTTATTATTATCTTGAAAGGCCTTCTAAAAGGAAGAAAAACTTGAAACAGTTCCAACAGCTGCATAACAGCAGTTTACAATTAGAAAACTTGGATAAAGTTATAAAATCAGCTAGGATTGACACCCAGTGGAGTTTAATTGGAAAACTGAAATGTGCTGATGGGATTGTAAAATATAGTGAACTATCTAGAATTATGTTGGCCATCTTAACAGTTCCCCATAGTAATGCAGAGTGTGAGAGGATTTTCAGTGTTGTTGCGAAAACGAGGACTAAATTTAGATCTAATATTAGTGATGACACATTAGGAAAACTTTTATTAGCAAAAGCAGGCCTACGTGGCAATTGCTATCAACAAAACTATGAAGTTTCTTTCTTAAAGAAAGCAAAATCTGCCACTGTTTATAACATTTGTACGAAAACTGATTAAAGTGTCTTTTTTTTTTTTTTTTCTTAAACAATGCAAGTAAAAAAATGTTTGTTATGTGTAAGGTATTTTTGTGTTGCTTGCATTCAAGAATTAGTTAATTAGTTACCATTTAAAGTTAATTCATTATTAAAAACTATATTTTTATCATTTAAAAAGTCTTTTTAACATTGTGAAAAATCTCCTGATTTCTTAAAAAAAACTCCTGATTTTTGAGTGTCATAGGTTGGCAAGTATGCTAATATATAAATTGATACTTTTATCAGACTGTGATAAATATAGGAAGTAATAAAAAATTTAACTAAGCATTTGAAAGATGACTTTTTTGATTTTTAGTGCTGTCTTTTTTATTTAGTAGAAATAGAATATTAGATCATACTAGTTTAACAAATTTTTTTAAATTTCACTGTATAATGACACTTGATATAGATCGCATACTGCATTATAATTTTTTATGCAAAATTGGACTTATTGATATCATAAAAAATTTAAGAATTATTATTTTCGGAATATTATATAAAAAGTTCTCAACCTTTTTTTAGGATTTGTGGAAGAAAAATTAATCATAACCATTATTGAACAATTTTGAATATTAACTAATTTTATTAATGCTCCTTTCATGTTAATCTGTGAGCTTGAAATTTTTTATATGTGTTTTTCTAAAATGTTTGCATTTTTCAGATCGCTTATATCATTTTATATATGAGCGCTACAAAGGCCTGTATCGTATGCCACTTTGTATCAATCCTCACTCAGCTGCTTTTAAAAGTTTTACAAGGTGAGTCATGTCTTTTTTTTTTTTAATTCACTGTATATTATTAAATTTTAATTTGCTCTAATACATGTTGAAACTGATTAAAACTTAGTAACGGTTTTTTCTTTACAGAGAGTTTCCACAAAACAGTCATATTATTTCTTTGTATAAATAACTATAGTTCGTATCTTGTTTGATCTTCTAAGAGTTGGTGTTTAGGTAAGTTATTATTATTTTTTAACAGTTTAGTTTGATTGTTAGACTTCAAAATTTAAAACTCAAAGTGATACATTATAGTGTGGTTTTATGCATTCTATTGTGATAGGATGATTTAAAACATTATGGCTATTTCTGTGTGAAGAAAATGTCATATATTGTACATGCTGAAGCTTATCCTTCAGCAACATCTAAGCATCAGCTGTATCAATCATGTGTCCTCTTACAGCCCAAGAAATATAGGCTTTAGAGTAAAAATTATCATGGTAGCAATCACAAATATTAAGCATCAAGGATGTTGGATAAAGTCATGTGCAACAGAGAATCCAAAAATACCAGTGAAACGAGAGGTGCATTTAAATGGAGTAAATAGCAAAACACTCTAGAAACTTTCTGAGTAATCCATAAAATTAACAAATTTGTGTGTAGGCTTGTTATTTAAGAGCAATCTTAGTAAAAAAAACAAAGAAAAAGGCTGTATTATTCTGAAGCCATCTTTGGCTGAGAAATCAGCTTTCTCATTTTTGAAACATTGCAATTGTTAGGAATCCATTGGAAAGCAATTTCCCAATCCATTGGAAAGCAGAAGAGAGGTTATTTGGTTGGTAAGTGTTAAAAGTCCTAAAATAACAATGAACTGGTATTAGCAGAAGCTTGTATTTTTCCGAAATTTTCAGAAATGGAGAAATTGTCTCTGGGTTACTTGATGAGTTGTGGTGAATGTTTACAGATAGTGAATATGAAAATTTGCAGTCTGCCAATAGGAAATAACTAAGCCTAATGAATGAGAGGAAGCTATCCTCCTATAAGCATTTAAAATAGTATGTTGTAAGTGAATTGCAAATAACATGGTGTAATAGAGTCTTCGTATATTCTTTGCGAGCATACACTCTTAAACCCTGTGTCGAAGACTAAGTAGCAAATTCTTGCTGTGTCTTTAAGAATAAATACTGCAGTTGAAAGGTTTAAATAACCTTTTTATTTAAATCTGGATTAAAACAGGTGCATGCACTTTGTGCTCACAAATCATCACCACTTGTGGTTACATAACAAAATAAGAATGTAACAATTCATAGCAAATTAAGATAATCTAATGACTGGTTTCTTAGCCTAACTAATGCTAAATCGACTCCACACAGCTAAGCAAAGCCGAGAAAATATCTGTATTCTTGGTGCAAACTGAAAATAAATGCACCAACATAAATTTTTGAATTTCACACCAAATTTTACGAAATTCAATATTAAGGCCTAATTTGAATCGTAAAATCAAAATCTGTGAAAAAAAAATCAGCATGTAATTTTAAAAAATGTTCAATTTTTTGTCAAAGTACCTTTAAAACAGCACTATATATATATATATCTAATATATACTTTAAGTCACACTTTCAAGACATGAAAAACTCAATTTGAATTACATCAATCTGCCGAGTAGAATGGGAGATGTAGAACTGCCCCCCTTTTTAATTTGCGCAGTGTACCTGTTTTTCCCAGTATAAATCTTTAGACAATGGTAAAAATTTTTTAGGTTATTTTTCAAAAAATGAGTGAATTTTATTTGGAATGAACATAATTTCGAAATGTGAAAGGAAGAATCAAATAAATATAATGAAAAAAGATATATTAATAAATATATACCAAATTCAGTTAACATGGAGGAGCTAAAATTTTGAGAGCCAATTTTTTTAAAAAACTGCTCTTGCGATTTTTACAAAACCTGACAGTTTGATATAATTTTGAGTTATAGAATTGAAATATGAAAAAATATTGTCATGTCATTTCAGAAGAAGTCTGATTTTGTGTCAAAATACCTATATTAGAACAATGCTATATATAAATCTAATCTTATCCCAAGTCCTGCTTTCAAGACATGAAAAACTTCATCAATCAGCCCAGTAGAGTGGGAGATACAGAACTGTCCCCCCTTTTTTTATGCAGTGTACTACTAATTATTTACGATCTGCTATGTGACACAAACAGTATAATGATATTTGGACCTCATGATGTAACATTTCTATCTAAATATCTCTAAGATATTCCATGATAACAGTGTGTTGCCACTAAGAAGGGTTTATGTCATGTTTACTGAGAAGGGTTTATGGGCTGGAGAAATATTCCTCTGAGAGTTGCCCAGTCGGTATGGTGGTCAGGGAAGTTGATTGCGGTGCTGAAGGGCCTGGGTTCAAATCCCGGAAAAGGCATGGTTGTAACTGTTCGTCCCTTCATAGGAAAGGCGATAGTGGTCCACCTATTAGGTGCCTCCATAATAAAGAGACCACCATATCCGGCCTTATATAGATTAATGGACTGGGTTACATTTGTAATTGCTCACAATCTGCCATTGGAAAAAAAAAAATATTCCTCTGAGATGTACCATATAAATTTATCCTATAATTTTACTGATCTTAATGGTATACCCCCCAGAAGGATAACCAGACTAATTAATGATGTTAGTGGGAAGAGAATGAACTGTAATTTGGCTATAGAATTTCTGCGGATTATCATCTAAAATCTGTGGGGTCAAATCAAGTTGGTGAGCACCTGATTGAACACAAGCCAATATAGTGTTTCAATAGTTTTCCTTGCCATAATTGGACTGCTAAAGTATTAGTAGATGATTGTTAATTCAGTCAACAGTGAGCATAGTTTTGATTACAGTATGCTCTTTAGAGCGCTGTTTTTGTTTTATCAAGGACTTAATGTAGTAACGTATCAAGGACTTAATGTAGTAATTTGGCTATAGAATTTCTGCGGATTATCATCTAAAATCTGTGGGGTCAAATCAAGTTGGTGAGCACCTGATTGAACACAAGCCAATATAGTGTTTCAATAGTTTTCCTTGCCATAGTTGGACTGCTAAAGTATTAGTAGATGATTGTTAATTCAGTCAACAGTGAGCATAGTTTTGATTACAGTATGCTCTTTAGAGCACTCTTTTTGTTATATCAAGGACTTAATGTAGTAATGAAAATATTTGTATTTTATAATTTTGGCAGTTTTGATGTGCTGGAAAAACATAAAATTTTAAAATTCCTGAATTTTTATAAATCTCTCTCACTTTGTGTAGGTTTTAATTATAAGAGGTGACAATTGCACATATGTTGTATATAATTTTATATTTAGGCCTTCTGTGAGATAATATAAATTAGCTGTTTATAAACTTACATTTGCTGCATTACATTTCTAAGAAATATAGTATTAATACTAATTTTCCTGAAAGAAAAATATTTTTACAAATTTGCTATTTAAAAAGCTAATGTTAGTTCAATTATAAATTAAATGGTTTTATTTCTCGCGCAGTGCAGCGCGTGACGAATATTAAAAGAAAGCTAAGCCGGAAAATTGAAAATACAAGAGCGCGTGCATTAAATAAATAAATATCTCTTTTTGATTTCGAGAAAGTACTGGAAAATTCTAGCGCGTGATTTTAAAATCTTATCAAAGGAGGAAAATATCTCAGTTCGTAGTAGTTGCTTAGTTTGTTGTTGTTTAGAAAACTTGTTGTTGATTATAGCGAATTCGCGGATTACCGTTCTTTAGCTGTTTTGAATTACGTTCTATTGTACATTTGAGTAGTTAAAAGATAACTACTGTGAGATATTGTAATACTGCATGATAATTTGAGAAAATTTAAGCATTTTTGTTGTGATAATAATAAATTTTGTTCATTTTTCATCGGACTTGTGCATTCTTTTCGTAACGAACCCATACGCACGCAACAATTTTTGGTGTCAGGAGTGGGATATTGAATGCCAATAACAAGAGCGATGGAAGAACAATTCAGGCAAATGATGACTGCATTTGCTGCTTTCCAAGAAAAGATGGAAGGAGCCGTCAACTCCGTTAAGGAAGATACAAAAGCTGTACAAGAAAAAATGGATGCTGGTCAAATATCCGTTAAGGAAGAAATTAAATTTCTTAAAGACGAGATGAAAGCAGGTCAGGACGAAATGAAAAGAGAAATTACCTACGCAATAGAAAATAAATTTGAGGCTATGGAAGGCAGAATAGACGCGGTTGAAATTAAAGTTGGACAAATTGAAGAAAACGTTTCCTCTGTGAAAGCGCAAATAGAAGACAGAGTTTCGGCCGTGGAACAACAAATAGGTTACAAAGTTGATTCAGTCAAAGAAGAAATAGAAGAAAGAGTTTGTTCCATTAAACAACAAATCGAACAACAAATTGATGAGAGAGTTTCTGCAGTTGCCAAAGAAATGGATACTTTAAAGAAATTCGTATCGTCGGCAGGGAGCGGGAGTGATGATTTTAAATTCTTACCGGCCTGCTCATCCATCTCTGAAGCTATCCACATATGATGGGAAGACATCCTGGCAAGTGTATAAGACCCAGTTTTCTATCCTTGCGGATGCGAATGGATGGGATTCCCAAGCTAAGGCCTGTCATCTCGCCGCTTCTCTGAGAGCAGACGCAGCGGATATCCTGCAGACGCTTCCCGAAAATCTAAGGCTAGATTTCGAAGCTCTATCCGTCGCTTTGGAGCTGCGCTTCGGCGAGAAATGTTTAAAAGACTACAGCAGGCTCCAATTAAAATCCCGTCAACAGAAGCTCACCGAAACACTTCAGGAGCTCACCACGGATGTTGAAAGGCTGTCACATCACGCCTTTTCGGAGTGTCCGACAGAAACAAGGGAAATACTGTCCCTGCAATATTTCATCGATGGCATCCGGGACCATGAAATACAGAAAGCACTGCGAATGGCGGATGTTAAAGATCTGAAAAGCGCTTTAGTGTACGCCATGAAATTTGAGGCAGCCCAGCAAGCCACTCGTAGAGACCGCCACCCAATCAGAGCTGCTCATGTCCAGGAACCAAGGGATCAAGTTTACTGTTCGTCTAGACGATATAACCAGACAACTCAATGACTTAAGAAGAAATATCAGTGAAAAGAAACCGACCTTAAAATGTTGGAACTGTGGAGCTGAAGGACACATATGGCGGAACTGCAGAACACCCCAGGGCACAGATGTTAAGACCGCTTCTAGCA